AACACATTTTCGTTTGAACACTAAAAAACACGTAATAGAAAAAAAAATTGAGAACGATTATTCTGAAAATTCGCTTATAATAAAACCATAAGTTGCAGTTCTCTCGTAAAATATTAATTGTTCAAATGCTGCGATTTTACGTGATCCTTCAACTGACTAAGTGCACTGTACTGAAAGTCAGGTGTATTCTTTTTTTTTATACCTCGCAGACATATTTGTATGTGTTATATATATAATACACAGGTAAAAATGACATTATATGATGAAGTGTCGAAAAGACCGGAGAAATGTCCTTATTTGACTTTTAGCTACATAGGGGTTATCACACAAATCCCCTATGTCTTCGCTTGATCGAAAGTCTGTATGATACTGATTTGTCAAACCGTGACATCAGGGCGATAGGTAAGGTGATGTTCTACATAAAACACTTATATCAGAAATATATATATATACGTTCGGTAATCATAGATGTACGCGTTTAGCTGCTGTACGTGTTATCTTGTGGTAATTAGAACTATTTTACATTTGTGGTGACCAAAACAATTGTACGCGTTAACGTGGTAACCATAGTATAATAGATGTACGTGTTATCATGTGGTTGCTATAGCTATTTTATCTTTGTGGTAATCATAGCTACTTTACTCGTTATCGTTGTAACCATAGTATAATAGATGTACGTGTTATCATGTGGTTGCTATAGCTATTGTATCTTTGTGGTAATCATAGCTACTTTACTCGTTAACGTTGTAACCATAGTATAACAGATGTACGTGTTATCATGTGGTTGCTATAGCTATTGTATCTTTGTGGTAATCATAGCTACTTTACTCGTTAACGTTGTAACCATAGTATAACAGATGTACGTGTTATCATGTGGTTGCTATAGCTATTGTATCTTTGTGGTAATCATAGCTACTTTACTCGTTAACGTTGTAACCATAGTATAACAGATGTACGTGTTATCATGTGGTTGCTATAGCTATTGTATCTTTGTGGTAATCATAGCTACTTTACTCGTTAACGTTGTAACCATAGTATAACAGATGTACGTGTTATCATGTGGTTGCTATAGCTATTGTATCTTTGTGGTAATCATAGCTACTTTACTCGTTAACGTTGTAACCATAGTATAACAGATGTACGTGTTATCATGTGGTTGCTATAGCTATTGTATCTTTGTGGTAATCATAGCTACTTTACTCGTTAACGTTGTAACCATAGTATAACAGATGTACGTGTTATCATGTGGTTGCTATAGCTATTGTATCTTTGTGGTAATCATAGCTACTTTACTCGTTAACGTTGTAACCATAGTATAACAGATGTACGTGTTATCATGTGGTTGCTATAGCTATTGTATCTTTGTGGTAATCATAGCTACTTTACTCGTTAACGTTGTAACCATAGTATAACAGATGTACGTGTTATCATGTGGTTGCTATAGCTATTGTATCTTTGTGGTAATCATAGCTACTTTACTCGTTAACGTTGTAACCATAGTATAACAGATGTACGTGTTATCATGTGGTTGCTATAGCTATTGTATCTTTGTGGTAATCATAGCTACTTTACTCGTTAACGTTGTAACCATAGTATAACAGATGTACGTGTTATCATGTGGTTGCTATAGCTATTGTATCTTTGTGGTAATCATAGCTACTTTACTCGTTAACGTTGTAACCATAGTACAACAGATGTACGTGTTATCATGTGGTTGCTATAGCTATTGTATCTTTGTGGTGATCATAGCTACTTTACTCGTTAACGTTGTAACCATAGTACAACAGATGTACGTGTTATCATGTGGTTGCTATAGCTATTGTATCTTTGTGGTAATCATAGCTAATGTACGCGTTAAAGTGGTAACCATAGTATAACAGATGTACGTGTTGTGTGGTGATTATAGCTATTGTCATTTGTGGTAACCATAGCTACTGTACACGTGGTAACCATAGCATAGCTGTTGTACGTGTTGTCGTGTGGTAATTATAGCTGTTGTACGTTTTAGGTAAACATAACTACTGTACACGTGGTAACCATAGCATAGCTGTTGTGCGTGTTATCGTATGGTAATTATAGCTGTTGTACGTTTGTGGTAAACATAGCTACTGAACGCGTGGTAACCATAGCATAGCTGTTGTGCGTGTTATCGTGTGGTAAGCATATATTCATATACGATTTCGGTACACTGTGCCTGTTCATGTTGATATAATAGCTATTTATGGTAACCATAGTTACTTGGCGCTTGTAGTAACCACATATCGACTATATTTGTACGTATGTAACTACCATATGTACTTAACTTGTACATGTATGTTAATCAAAGCTACTTTACGTGTGCATGCATGTGTGTGAGAAACATAGCTTATGTACACGAACAAGTCTGCTTTTTATAAGTTTTTGGTTACCATGTCTATTGTACGTGTACACGTCCGGCTACGTGTGTGGGTACCATAGCTACTGTACATGTGTATATATAAGTGTACGTGTGCGATAACTATAAATACTCTACGCTAACGTTCCCGTTTCTGGTAACCATGGCTACTGCAATTAGGTGAATGGTAACCATGGCTACTGTATTTGTACGTGTACGCCTCTGGTAACCATGGCTACTGCAATTAGGTGAATGGTAACCATGGCTACTGTATTTATACGTGTACGTGTGCGATAACTATAACTACTCTACGTTAACGTTGACGTTTCTGGTAACCATAGCTACTGAAATTAGGTGTGTGGTAACCATGCCAGCTGTATGTGCACGTGTACGCCTTTGGTATGCATAGCTACGTATATTATGTGTATATGTACTTGTCTGGTAACCATACGTCAATGTTAAACAATTGTGCATATATTTGTGTAGTAACCTTCCAAACGCGTACATGTTACGTTCCAGTATGTTTTACAGCTTGATGTGTTAGGTGGCAACTTTTTGTAAAAAAAATCTGCCTTCCTTTGCATTACGAAATAAGTTCCCTTCCCCTGTCTGTCTTAACGTCCCTCCGGGATACTTGTAGGCGCGGGTTCGACTTTCGGCGTCAGGAAAATGAATAAATAAACATCTTATAATGAGCTATGTAAATGCGTTTTCCTTTTTCTTAAAAACGCATGTAACCTTCAATAAATGTATCATATAACCTTGAAGAAAGAGGAACAAAAACGAGTTATCGCCCCTGTTTTGATACGCGACTCTCTTTAATGTTATTTACGAGGTACATGATGTGTTAGTCTCGGACTAATAAATAAAACTGAGGCGGGACCGGAATTGTTTGTGACTGTATCTTCAAGCTATACGTTTGTCATATTACCTGTACGTCAGCCATGTCATTAGAGAACCCTTAGCCTAAGAAAAATTAAGAGAGTGCTGAGAGAGAGAAAAAAAGAAGAAAAATATCCATTTGCCAACACGTATATGTACAAAATATAGAACGAACTTAGTAATATTATAAGATGTTTGTTATCGTCTGCTAATGAATACATGTTTGCTACGCATGATTGCTTCGTTTCACACAAATATTTACAGATGTTTATTCGCGAGATATGTAAACCAGGTACAAATTTCATTTAACAAGATCGGTTTCATCACTTCCCGACCATGAAACATACATCACCATGTGTTGACTGTTTACCTTGAAAGTCTCACGCTTAAATCATCAACCCTCCCCTCCATACACTGTGTATACAAAGCGTCGCAGTACATGTACAGTTGCATGTTTTTAATCTACTGCATTATTACCGCATATTCTATCCAGTAACCTGTTTATTCTATCGCCCTCACAATTGTGTATAATTTGTATGCATAATCAAGCACAGTACTTTAAGATGTCAATTTTAAAAATAAATTTGACTAAACTGCACTATATGACACTCACATATATAATACTCACATGTATACTTTGCACATATGTAATACACGTGTATATTGTATAACGAACTTGGAATGTACACACGTCGCTACACATGTACACTAGCACATGGTGCTACACATGTCACTGCACATGTATACTACACATATGTACACTACACACATGTACACTACACACGTCACTACACATGTACACTACACACGTCACTACACATGTACACTAACGCATGATGCTTAACATGTCACAACACATGTTGACTACATACATGTTTACTACACACGTGTAAACTACACACATCAGTACATATTTACACACATTTAACACATGATGTTACACATATGTCACTACGCGTGCATACTACACACATGTATATTACGCAAATGTATATTGCACACGACACTACATACGTACACTAGCACATGATGCTATACGTGTAAGCTGTATGTGTGTATATTACACACGTGTATATTACACACTTAAACTACACACATGTGTAGTCACACGTCACAACAATTGTATACTTCACACATGCTCATTACACACATGTGTATGCTACACATACGTATAGTATTTACATGTACTAAATAATATAAACGTATGCAAGCGTGCCGGTTCGTACTTTTGTTTATGTATATATTTATACATATTTAACCAATTTAGCAGACATATATAAGACTATACAAATATATGAAGGATGTGATAAAGTTTCCTTTAAAAATGACATTCAACGTTGTTTTTTTAAAAACATCAACACATGATTATATTTATAACATCTCGATCGATGACGCAATAGACTCAATTGTAGAAAATTGATATTCACTAAAGTACGGTCCATCTAAACGGTGATCTATAAGAGCGCCCTGAACAGGGAAACTATTACCTGTATGCAATATAATGGGTCAGTGGTCAAGTTGGCTTGACCAGCTGGTCACAATATCAGCGCTTATCAGAATTATAAAAAAGAACAACAAAGCAATAAAAAAACGTGACAGCTGATATTAATAGATGTCACATTTCAATCACTTGGCGCGAGAAATATTATATAATTATTATCTATAGAACTGATAGGTCGCCAGCTAGTATAACTATGTAAGGGGACCACCGTATGTAACGAATAGCTTGCCTGTCATACAAACAGAAGGTGTATGAGATTTAAGCGTCAGTTTGCGAGTGTCGCTGTTGGGATAAACGTCGGTATGAGAGAGGGAAGCAAACATTTGTGAAATGAACACTCTATTTATTTAGCAAGGTCATTTCACTGTCCCTACATACGAATTTACATGATATTCATTTGTGGGGATTCCATTATTTGGAAAACGTAAAACAAATTAAGCTGGAAATATTTCTGCTGTTTAAATTTTAAGACATATATATACATATATGATCTATTTATGTCGCCCTGTTGCTAATTTTCCCTAATACCTGGAAGTGAAACCGTGCCTTTTTCTTTATTTTTGGAGATGACATAGAAGACACGGAGGGAGTTTTCGTTTGTGAGTTTCTAACCCGGAGGCCAGTGAGATTAGGGACAGCCGTCGTGAGGAGATATAAATCTGCACGTGCTTCTTGGAGTCTTGATTAAGTTTTAATTTATTGACGACCCACGGGCAGCCATGACGTCATCATTGTATATATGTGTTCTATTCCTACTGGTAAGTCAACTTTTTTACTCTAAATGATTTTTAAAAAAATGTGAAAGAAAATCAACATGACTGAGCTTATGATTATTCGAACAAACCTTGCTCCAACCAATGACATACAAGCATGCTTTTTTCCTCCTATAAACCAAGTTTAGCTAAATGCAATTAACTTTTAAATCGCCGGGTTTTGAACGAAATCTACTGATAAGTATCAGTAGTTGATTGGAGGGATTAAATTACAGTAAATGTGATTTCCGTCTCACATGTAGATATACATGTAGATTCATTGAGTGCGCCTTTCATATACCAGGTGATTTGATTATACACATACATAATTATACCCATTTGATTTCGTCTGTGAATGTATATAGACTTATTATGTACCGTCGGTGCTGTTAAGGAACACTTTGAATTCATTCTGTATTTCTACCTTCCGTATACTAAATGTGTAACGCCACTGACTGGGATCTGGTTTAATCAAACTCATATGAATTTTGCTAATTTAATACATGAGAGTGAACAGTATTCTTACCTAAGTTTTATCTCACCAGAATTTGTTTTAAACGATAAAGCTACCGTCAGATTGTAGGTTTAAACTCTGACCCAGCCAGCGGCACGAGTCGAGAATATATGTCAACCCTTCCCTCTGTTCGGAAGACACGAACACCTGTTCTCTATCGCAGTGTGAAAGATAAAACATTTATCTGTAAATAGTCTGATGAATGAGATCGTTGGAGAAAAAAAAAGATAAATTAATCAGTAATTTATTTTTTATTTTTGGAATATTTCATTTAAATTACCTGTCGTCATTGAGACCTACATGCACTTGGCGATAATGTTTTGTAAAGCGGACAGGTTTTCTAATTTCAACTCGTATGATTCTATAGAAAACCTGTATAATACGTCGAGATTCATATGGGCGTCTCTATAACCGGATCATTAAACCTGTCTATATCGAACTCTCACTAACACAGACAATTGATATACATATTTCCTCTCTTCATCCAACCTTTTTAATACAGAAACTGTGATTATCATACTTTTGATTACTCTGTCGAACTCACCTAGAAAACTAAAAAAAATAAGCACCTGTTTATTTTGAATACTCTGAAATCCGGAAAAAACTGTTTTTATTTGACGTGATCTATCCATGTCGAACTCGTGATATCACGGAAAACTTAGATATCTGACGTTACATTACCTATGCATAACAAACACTCGTTAATTTGGAAACCTGCGCTACTGTAGCTATTGATTCCCTGTTAAAATCGGACACTGAGTAACACGGAGCCTTTGTCTATAATTACAGTGTTACCTGCGTATATAGACATCTCCATAATCCGGTTTCCTGTGGTTAGTGAACCCTATGTAATTAGTAAACTTCTTTTTCAACAAACAACCACCCTTGTACTGTTAACCTGTGTATGGGGACATCTTTGTAATACGGAACTTGTCCTTTGTTGTATAATATGAAGCATTATCATCGCGTAATACTGAACACATTGAAGACTCACTTTAAAGCTGAAAGTCGGTCAAAAGCTCTGCGTTTTGATATATGAACATTACGGGGCAGCACAAATAATTAAAAGTCATGAACAGTTTTGAAAATGGACAAACAAACCGGAAATTAAATGCTAAATAGTTTGGTCCTGAGAGAATTATGAGTAAAATATATGAACAAATTACTGACTGTTAGCAATGCGTGAGAAAAGTACACATTTACTATAGAAAGTAAACATTTTTATTTACGTATCACGGATGTTTTAACAATAAGTTCGATGTGGGAATAGTTCCCATAATTCTGGTGTGAATATGTTCGTGTGTGTCCTTCTGTCCAATTAATTCCAATCCAGTGAATTGATTTTCACGTTAAGATTCCCAACCTACTTAGTGGTGAGTTATATTTGCCTTCCACGTGGACGATCGGGGTTCGATTTCCGGTTTTACAAAAACTGTATATTTCCTATTCGCCGTACGACTCTTCAGAGCTCATGACACAAAGTGTTCCTGGGTTAGGACGAAAGTTAAGGATCCCCGGTACCACTGCCAAAAATAAATTTACGAATTGAAAACTTTTATTTTTTTCATGGCTATCACTCTGATAAATCATTTCTGAAAAAAATATCCTTGATGGGCTTTTATGAAACAAATAGTGACGATGACATAAACAAAATATAATCAAAAACAACGTTTGCAGTGTTAAAAAAATGTGAATCATATGAAAAACTACTGTCTACCATAACAGACGATACAATTTGAAAAGAAGGTACTTATATTACAAAGGTGTTTTTTTTTTTTTTTTTTTTTCGAAAAAAAGATATATTTCAAAAATATCATTTTAAAGAAAACAAATAATGGCTTCGAATTTGCTTAGTTACGCACGGTGCATCCTTACAAAACCTGATTGAATCCGAATGGTTAATGACCGATGTTTGCCGAAATTAGCCGGAAAATTGCGAACGATGGTATAGAGATACTTTCTGTACGTGTTCTGATATCATGCAGTTTCCGTACGGAATCAGATGTTTCAATACTTTCAATAAAACTTGTAATACCACCTGTACACGAGAGTATGTCACTGGGTCAGCTAAGGGTGCGCTCGGCTGTTTGTGACGTAAGAGATACCTGCGGGTTTACGACGTATAGCATGATTAATTAATGATAACACAGCCCCACCCCCGGGCTAAGACCACGTACGATATAGGTCTGTAGCGGCGTTCGGACAATGACTGACAAAATTTGTACGAACTGGCAGCTTGACTTGACTCACTTAAATACCACGTGTGTGCTAATTTTACAGCATTGAAAACGGTGAACTATAAGAAACAAAAGACCACTGGCCACGCGAGCTCGCGCTTTTTAACGATTTTGTCTGATTATTTTCTACAACCTTGTTTTGTGTGTCGATCGTTTCCTTCAGTCTACGATAAGCTGATTTATTTTTAATTTTAAATTGTTCGTGTCTCCCTCCTCTGATCAAGGACGTTTAATTAAAATACAAAGTTTATTTATTATACAACAATTATGAAACACGTTATATAACTTATATCAATCACTCTTGTCGACCCAGATGCTAGCGCGCAGGGGGTCTTAATGAGAGAGGAAACCGAAGTACCCGGAGAAAACCCGCATGTGTGTTATCCACAGCGCCACCACCCATACGTTTAATTACGTCCTCCCCTATGTAAATATGTATATCTCATCGTTCCTGCTGTTTTTAGAAGCTTAGGTAACATATGTGTGGATGCATACATATCTTCTTAATTGTTATGATCGCGTATTCAATCACAAAAAGTATTCGCGATTTATTTAGGGCTCGCTTTGCATGCATACGTTAACAATGCACTGACTATATCGTGTATTAATGTGTAGCAGTTCTTTATTTTTCTTTAATTTTTTTAGACCCAGTGTCATATTTAGTTTACACTAATTGAGCCCCGCCGATGCAGTTTGGTCGATTTTCCACTTGTCAGCACTACTCCGACTGTCAGCATGGTCAACTTAACATCTGTATAAATAGAGCATTTAGCCCCTTACCCACACACTGTTTCTAAGGTTTTCACTCTTATTGTCAGCACTGTCACCTTAACGTCCTTATAAATACGGCATCTCTGGTTTTCACAGATTTTTACTGTTTATATATCAATACGTAAGACTGGAATTTCGTTAATATCTCAAAATCAGGACACTTTTTTTTCAAATATGGCAACATAGTGATATAGGTATTATTATAATTTGACACGATACTAATGATCAGAGCTCAATTTGTAATAACTACTGTAGGACAATTGATTCTTTTGTTTCAACAGCACACCTGGTGTTAATAGTGTAACAGTGTGCTTCCACCGGGGATCGAACCCACAATCTCTAGGTTCCGGGTTGGGCGCTCTCTGCCACTGGGCTCAAGGGAAATTCCCTGTAGCACGAAGGTAGAAGGCGACCGTTATCCTATGTACAATTGAAATATGTCACATAAGTACATAAGTATATAGGCTCGCTAGCGCCCCCCCACCCCCCCCCAACAAAAATAAATAAATAAAAAATAAAGAAAAACTATACATGCACATAGAAAGTTTGAAATTATTGACAGCATCGCTTTATTGAGATATATAACTAAGTTTAGGTACGATAAAACGATTTGGTACACCTCAACCCCACTCCGTCGTGAACCGTCGGCACTTTCCGTAAACTTAGACGTACTCGTTTACGGAAAGTGCCGACGTCTCCCGATTGCTTCTACCCTAGACTTATTCATGTACTAAATATTTTTATCCCACCCACGCGCCCTAACGAGTATAGCTTTCTAACTGTCGCCACTGCGCCGCCGGGTTGTCAAACAATTAATCTGCTACTTACATATCGGTTAATAAGTAATAGTTTTATTAAACATACTCTAAATATCAAACGTTAATTTTCATTTGTCATAACCACCCATCCCCAGCTGACAAAACAATGAAGTCATATTGGAGAATTGTGTACAGCTATACATAAATGTATATCGCAATAGATAGAAAATTTACAAACATCAAAGAAGTATCTATGTATTATATATCAGTAAAGGAACATAGCAGATAAGATAACCACGCACAGATGTATGTTGTGTCATATACCATACTGTTGAATCACTATGTACATTTCATAAATTAGAAGGGTTTGTCTTTCAACTCTTGAGATGTAGTACGCAATATATTACCCAATGTACATTGCGCGCCCACAGGAACGTGATATTGATCGATTGTTGTCTGTTGCTGAAAATCGATATCTAAATGTGCTATCACAGACGTGGTTCCTCATGATATTTTTTAAAAATAGATTGATTTCCGTTTTCTTTTCTCTGTTGTAAACATTGAAGTTTGGATTTATGTTTAAGACTTTATTATTATCAAGTGGTCAGTCCCAAGTTTTTACGGCTTTATAAGCCGTTAATGAGATATCGAAAGAAATATTTTCGTGTTTTGTTTGCTCTTTTGATACAAAATTCTATATCTGAAGAAGCATAGGCGTAAATATAC